GCAAATTTAGATCTCTGACCAGATCATTCAATTCTGACTGAGTAAACAACGTTGGCTTTTCACAATCTTCACCAGATGGCTTGAAAAGATCAGTCTCTTCATCATCATCAGTAGAAACAGGTGAATTCCGGTCTATATCCTCAATCTCTGGTAGCTCAGTAAATTCTGGCACGTTACGTGATGGAGCAAATCTGAGATCAGATTTGGATTCAGCACCTTAAAGTTAGTAAAAAAAACAGTTAAAAGGTTTCATGCCAGAAAAAAAAAATATTTTTTTGTAGACCAGTGTTATGGACGTTAGAGTTCCGAGAATAGACAAATGGAAACACACACGCATCTCCCAACCCCACCATACCCAACACCCCACCCCACCCCACCCCACCCCACCCCACCCCACCCCACCCAACCCAATCGAAATGAGCCGAACCCACCAAGAGTTTCAACAAGGCAGAAGACTTAGAATTGTTGTCCCAAGTTCATGAGTCGATAACACTGTTTGATAATTTGAAATGGATCGTTACATAGAGAGGGAGGGAGGAGGGGAAGGGAAGTGAGGAGGAAGAGAGGTGAGGAACTAGGAGAGGTGAAGAGCGAGGAGAGGGTTACTTCATCACCCCCCCGATTACTTAGGGACCGCCATGAATATTTACACCACCCGGACACAGTGAGCATGACAGTATATTAATCTCATTTCTTATCTAATTGTGTGTCATCGTCGTCATCATTTCTGTTTGTTTCTTTGTCTGGGTCATTATCATTGCTGTCATCACCCTTATCGTATTTTTTCTCATTATCATCGTCATTATCATCACTGTCTTCTTCCTCATCATAACTGTCTTCTTCCTCATCATAACCATTGCGATTATTGTTTAGTTAATTTTTCCTTAAATTGTTAGAGATTGATAGTGAGAATAATCCTTAACTCGACCAATCATAATAATCCTTAACTCGACCAATCATAATAATCCTTAACTCGACCAATCATAATAATCCTTAACTCGACCAATCATAATAATCCTTAACTCGACCAATCATAATAATCCTTAACTCGACCAATCATAATAATCCTTAACTCGACCAATCATAATAATCCTTAACTCGACCAATCATCGTATTAACTTTGCCTTTATATACGACAGCCGATCGATGCATCACCCCCCCTTCTTTCTCACCCTATTAACAACCCCCTCCTCCCCCCCCCTGTAAACAACCCCCTCCTTACCCTCCCTTCCCCCTGTAAACAACCTCATCTCTTCCCCTCCCCCTGTTAACAACCCCCCTTACCCTCCCTCCCCTGTAAACATCCACCCCTTCCCTCTCTCCCCTGTAAACATTCTCATCTCTCCTTCCTCTCCCCTGTAAACAATCCCCTCCTTCCCCTCCCTCCCCATGTAACCAAGCAACCCCACCCTCCCTATAAACAACCCCAACCCACCTCCCCTGTAAGTGACCCCCATCCCTCCTGCACCCCCACCTTTGTAAACTTGATGTGCCAGTCATGAGCTGCAAGCAATATAATCCCATCCTTTGTTGACCTTCACATGACTGGTGTGGGAGGCAGGAAGAGTCACCCTTCTTCATAGTTATTTTGTTTCTGTATAATGTATTACACCTACTTACTGTACTTAGATTATTCAAACAGCTGGAGGTTAATAACTAGGAAAATGTGTGTGCGTGTGTGCGCGCGCGCGCGCGCAGATGGTTAGGTTAAAGTATGGTAAGTTAGCAAGGTATGTTAGGTTAGGATAGCAATCAAGGTAGCATAGGTTAGGTTAAGTTAGGTTCTGTTAAGTTTGGTTTGGCTAAGTAAGGTTTACTGGGTAAGTTGCGAAATTTTACATTATGCAAGATTTCACGGGTTTGATTCCCGGGCCGGTGGAAGTTGTTTGGACATACTTCCTAGCCCCCATTAGTCCCTGTTCACCTAGCAGTAAAGTAGGTACCTGGTGTAAATCGAAAGTTGCGAATTCGTATTCAGGGACAAGTTGTTGGAGCTTCCAATAACTTGATGACATAAAACCATTGGCTCTTCAGCCCTTGACTCTTCAAGCTTCTACGCCCTTAACTCATGAGACATAAAATCAAGCATGAACTTAGCATGCTTCCCTGTTGGGCACTGTAAACGCTTCTGCGCTTCACCTTACACAAGGATGTAGGGGAGTGCCCAATAAATAAAAAAAAAAAAATATGCAAGATGCAGGAACAAATTCGGAGGTTAAAAAGTAAATTATGTTAAGCTGAGTAAGGTCATGTGGGATTCAGAAGCAAGGTCAGAGGATGAAAGTAGACTATGCTGGTGTAAATGCCAAAACGTCAAGAAAATGACCATCCTCATAACATGGGTCCTACGTATGAAGCAGACGACGCGCCTTTGCTCTGTAATGATTGCAGCGACTGAGTGGATATAACACTCGCTTCTCTTCCAAAGGGTTACCGGTTCGATCCAAATTCATCCAGCTGTTTATGGGTACCTGGCTCAACAGTTGGGGCGGCCCAGTGACGATATCCCCGTAGATCTTATTGAATGGTTATACATATAAAGATCAAATGAAGAAGTGTCCATTAAAACCAATTTAGTTCTTCAAAATACCGCGAGGGAATAACTGTACTCCAAAGCATAAGAGTTTTGGATTAAAAGAGATTCCGCTTGTGTGTTGATGGGATGCATTTTGGGGCCTTTCGGGTGTAACTGAAAGGAGTTATGTAACTTAAGATCTTTAAGTAGTTAGTGTGACTACTAAACATTACAGGTTTTCCCTGGGTACTCTAGTTTCCTCCTGTACTACAGCTGGACAAACTCTTGAGGAACAATGGGAGAATTAAACAAACCACTGTCTCCCGTTCCTCGTCAAAGCTGAAAAGTAAATTAATTGTTCCGTGTTTTGTTTGTGGTTCCTTAAGGGTCGTTGAGAACAACATGTCTTTATTGTGAATGAGTCTGGCTGCACAAAATGGAGTAAGAGGAGGATGGTGTAGCTGCGTTAGTAAGTGTACTATAGTGCTCGTCTGCCACCAACATGAACTAGAGCCAAAGCAACGTTAGTATTCTCACACCACTCATGTCGTTGATCATAATGAGATCTATTGGAGAAATGATGGTAGACTCATGAACGTCACTGATGTTTACTGACACATTCTTTACCACTTATTATGTTGATCCAAGGAGGGGTGGGGGCTGTACTGACACGTGTTTATTTGACCCGGAGAATAGCACCATCACCCCTGGTATTAAGGTGTGTTGTTGCGTGCGTCAGCCACGGAACATTCCACTTGGTCTTCAGTTTGGTCTTGGCATCGCTTAAGACAAGTTTCTACGGAAAGTTCAGTGAAGCCTTTACTTTCTTATGCAGAATTTGATAAGAAGAAACTAGTTGTCTTGTGGTGTATAGTGTCCACTGCATTTGAATAAAGATAAACATATGACATCGCTTGTTAATAAGAACAAGTAAGACAGAAGTCACCAGACAGTCACCGATCTAATGAAACGACGAATTACAGACAAGATGCTCTCCTGGACGACCAGGACCACACATTTGGGAAGTGTGCGAGCCTTGCTGTGTGTTCTACGACTTTTTGGGTGTTTCCCATACATAGCAGTTACCAGGAATGGGTCAACATCAGTGAGGTGTGGCCAGGAGACGCCAGCAGCCTACAAGAGGACCTGGCCTCTGGTGGTGTGGTCAGTGGTAGCAGCAGCAGGTCAGATCTCCTACACGCTCCCCGCCATCTTCTCATTATTTCTGTTTGAAATGAGTAACACGCCAACCAGCATTGCACAATTGGTGTCTCACGTGAGCATAGTAAGCCAGTCTTGTTCCTTCCTCCTCCTGCTCACCACCAGTCACCTCCTGGCGCAGGTCGTCTCTCGTCTCCAAGACTTGTTTAATAGTGTCTCAGATGTGAAGAAAACCTTCCTTCAGAATAAAGACAACAAGATACAAAAAAGTGGCAGCCAAAATTATATTGGAACCATTTACAACCTTCGCAGGAAATGTCATGTGTCGAAGACAGATATTGTGGTATTACTCTACATCATAATTTGTCTTGGTAATGTACATCATTACTTCGATAGCTACCTCTTATATACAGCTTACGCTTTGGTTTCTCCTCAACGTCTGACATTTGTAATAATGTTCTTTTGTTTCCTGCGGGGGCTCTCGACTATATTGAGGGAAACTCGACACGCTGTTGCGACGCGCACAGAACCCGATCACCGCCTCTTGCACTCCACCTGTCGTGAGCACTCGTTAGACAGGCCATCTCCGAGCTGCCAGGGCTCAAGAGACTTCATTAACAACCATGTTATGAGACTTCCCACCGCCCAGGGAACATTACATCTGAAACCCAACGTCTCTGGTAATGGCCGGAGACTCCAAGACACTCTGACCACCCGTATGAACATGGCAAGGCTGAAGACCTTCCAGTCAATGCTGAGACAGGTGTGTGGCCCTGCCATATCGGACTGTATACCTGTAAACAAAAAGTCCCTGACACTTTCACTACTTAAATTTTTTTAGTTGGCCTAAATGACCCACCCCTCAAAAAAAAAATTAATAGATCTTTTAAGTCAACCCAATGTTTAGGAAATAATTATTGAAACACCTGACTTGAGGCTTACTAATCTAATACAAGGTCAGACAACAATGAAAAGAAACTACAGTATATACAAGTCTTCTGTTGTTCTGTCATTAGTTTCAGTGAATCTTTCCGTGGACTGGACCCATTAGCTGCTGAAACAACTTAGTCACCGTTTTATGCTTTCAGGTCGACCAAACAAGTTAATTTTGTAAACATTGTAATTGTTCGCATTTCTTTACCTTCTCTCTATGAAAGCGAGGATAAACTTTAAACAAAATATAAAATTGATCAAGACTTAGGTACTATAGTGTTGTGTTAGACCATCATTGTTATATATAACAGTTGGAGGAATATTTACTCGCAATTGTTCATTGTAGTTTATACCCTCAACTAATATCCTTGTTCTCATCCAGCGGTCTTCTCGGTAGGTGGACAATGTGCAGGAGCTCATGCTGGACTACTGTGGCCTGCTTCTCCTCTTCTACCTCTTCTTCGTCATCCTGGAGTCCATTTCTGACCTGTACTTCATCATCATCTTTCCCGAGCACATGCAAATCGACATGTTTTTACTCCTGGCCAACACCACGACTCTAGCTCTCATACTCTACGGCGCCTGGCTGCTGCAGGAGGAGGTACTTAACTTTTTTCTTTTTTGTACCCCTGGAGGAGAAACAGGATCACATGCTTGCTGACCGTCTCTCGAGGCGCCCGAGAGATAGATATTCATGGATCTCAACCAAATTTGTTATGTGGATGTATGACAGCAGTGTCTCAAACGCGCTGACCTATCAATAGTGCCACCCTTATATGTATAAATAGCTGACTTCTATATAATATACTGTACACCATTAAAAGACAAACACGTACACCTACACTCAGATGACCTCTTAGTTCATGTTTATTGTCACTGGATTGTAAACATAGTAATTGGCCCCGTCTTGTAGGAGGTGGGTAGTGAGGGGAAAGTGTGCTGTATCAGTCTCTCCTGGTCTTCCTGTGAAAGTTGTAAACTCGAGCAAATAGACGTATAGATGTTGATGAAATGTTCGTGTATGTCTCAACAAGATTTCCGATGAGTTTGATGATCATTGTACTTTCTTGCTACGTATATTGGTGAGCTCCATGACTCTCTCTCTCTCTCTCTCTCTCTCTCTCTCTCTCTCTCTACCTCTCTCTCTCTATATATATATATATATATGTATATATATGTACTGTATGTATATATATATATATATATGGCATATACCTGAATCACACTTGCACCTACAGTGATTTAGTTGCGCATATATATATATATATATATATATATATATATCGATAAATCACGCGGGAAAGGGAAACAGCTGGGCACCTGAAGATGTGAATAGGGCAGAAAGCAGGAGCGTTGTTTCCTTTTTTATTATTAACAGGCCCCAACTCTTATCACGTTTTTCATTTGTGGATCTACATAAATATAACCATATACTAATGTATATATATATATGCTGATAACCTAAGGAAAAGAAAGAAAACACAGGATTCCCAAACGCTTTCATTGAATTCACATCTTCAGAGTGAAATTACAGACTAGAAGGTAATACAAATCAGGTGTGTTACTCTCTGGTCTGTATGTATGTATATATATATATATATATATATATATATATATATATATATATATATATATATATATATATATATATATATATATATATATATATATATATATATATATATATATTAGTATATTAATTTGCTGTTCCAGAGGGCCGCATGTGTTACTTGGCTTAAGGAAGAACTTCTCTACACTGAGGACTACACTGTGCTGGCCAGGGTAAGTAGATGAGACAGACGTTGTTGATGTATTGTATTACTACAATAATGTGTATTACCGCGCTGATGTTATAATGTATTACTGCTCTTATTATATTGTATTACTACGCTGATGTTATATTGTATTAATGCTGTTTTTAATGTGCTTATGTTACAATGTATTAATACACTGACGTTGAAATGTATTACTGGGATACTGAGATAATACTTATAATGTATTTGTATACGCTTCTAAAGTGCATAGTCTAGGTTAGCACATACACTAGTCATCGGTGATTAGAAATTAAGATAAGGAATAGTACATCTCAATGGATGCTGCCGAGGTTGAATGTCCCGAGGGTGAAGCGAGTGACCCGGGGGCTCAGTGAATGAGTGTGTTAGGGGAGTTGTTGAAGCGGTTAAGAGAGATACAGTAAACGCGGTAAAGTGTGTCGGTACTACGTGCAGGGATGGTGGCTGGTGAGGGAGATGCAGCAGACAAGCGGTCCGAGTATCCTGGGCTTTTTCACCCTGGGGAACCACTGTATCGTGTCTGTGAGTACCAGCTTGATATTATAGCAGCTTACTCACCTTGTCACAGCTTACTTACCCACCTTGTCACAGCTTACTCACTTACCATGCTACAGCTTACTCACTCGCCATACTACAGCTTACACACTCGCCATATTACAGCTTACTCACTGACCATACTACAGCTTACTCATCATACTACAGTTTACTCTTTCACCATACAGCGTACTCACCAAACTACAACTTACTTACTCACCATACCACAGCTTACTCATCATACCACAGCTACTACCATACCACAACTTTCTACCATACCACAACTTTCTCACTCACCCTGTCACAGCTTACTTAGTCACCATACTACAGCTTACTCACTCACCCACCCAGTCACAGCTTGCTCACTCCCCATACTGCAGTTTACTCATTCACCATATTCCACTTTACTCACCATTTTGCACCTTACTCACTTACCATACTAAAGCTTATTCGCAATACTACAGCTTATCATATCTCAGTTAACTCACTATACCACTGTTTACTTACCTTTCTTCAGCTTACTCTTTCACCACACCTCAGCTTACTCGCCATACCACATTCGCTTCCTTCACTCTACCATCTATAAAGCTTCTGAGCTAATTTAGATATAGGATATAGATAATATAAATCAAGTTGGAGTTTTTCTTATACGATATTACAATATAGCATTTAGTTTATGTAAGTTTCTATATATATGAAAGTATATACTATAGTCATAAAAGTATATAATTGTTTTAATATGAGAGTTTTCTATTTTTTTTTATTGTAAGTAAATGGATTATTATTAGTTTTTTGATAGTTAACAATTTATATATCTTTATATTACCCAATAATTCTATAAATATTTAATCTAATATATATAAATTATCATGATATGTGTTTTGATGTTAATAAATATTTTGTTAGTAAATTATATTACTTGTTCTGGTATCGGTGAATTATATTAACATTAGGCCTATAATATACTGTACTTGGAAATTGCATCATATAACCTTGAATCTTTCGCTATAAGACCAGTTATAGACGTTATAGTTCATATATATACAGTATATAGTCGCGCCATGACGAACCCCACATATTCGGGTAACGTGACTCACAGAAGCCATATTGTTTACAAACCACAACGCCATGTGGAGCGTGCGGGAGGCCAACACTCTCCATGTCTTGTTATTGAGCTTAATAATGCCGGGATGTTAGGCCCAGGAGAGGGAATTGGTGTGTACAGCTTCCCTTGAAATGGAGTATGACGAAACCTCTATTTAACGGTCTATATGGAGAGGAAAGTCCATAATATAGAGGGTCCGTTAAATGTGAAACCTCCATATAACGGATTATATGGAAAGAGAAGTACGTTATTTGGAGGTTTCACTATATGGAGACAAACTTGTTAAATTTGTAGTCAGTATTAGGCAGGTAGGTTGTGGTGTGTACTAGGTTGTAGCAGCTGTGTATATAAGGAACTGTACTAGTGGTGACTGAGGTTAGTCTCTCTTTGTGTGGTACAGGTGTGCAGCTTCGTGGCGACTTACCTAGTCATCCTGCTGCAGTTTCAGATCAGCCCCTCCACTTCTCAACCTTCGCCTACCTCCTCCACCAACGTGTCCACCGTCGCCTCCACCACCTTCTGAACCTCCACATTCTTTTTTTTTCGTATCATTTTCGCCACTCATCAGCTTGCCAGACGTTCGAGCGGTTGTGTCTATCCAGTAACATTTGACGTCTTCTCCCGTAGTATTTGTTCACAGTTTTGTATGTTGAGGTCTCCGTGTACTCTTTACAACAAGATACTGTGTAGTGAAGATGGTCGTGTTGTACAGTAAATGGTCCTTCAGGTGCACCTATAACATCCTACCACACAAAATCCCACCAAACAAAATTCCAACAAATAAAATAATCCTCATTTGACACATTTTCACTCGATAAAAACACGTTAGACAAAATTCGTCCTTATTTTCTCCTCACACACAGTATCCAGGCTAGACAAAATCCGTTTTTTTTTTTTTACGGGAATTAGCCAACCCGGGCACAGGTCAAACGACCCACAACGGAGCCTGGGGGCGAAAAAAAAAGAACGGAAAGAAATTGAAAATATAGAAAAAAAGGTTATACTGTATTAATCTACACCACGAAGATGCCGGAAAACCAGCTTTTTAAAGTGAGACAGATTGTAAGAGCATGGAAACACAGAAGGCAGAGCAGTCCACAGTTTGGCTGTGTGAGGAAAGAAGGAGGTACTATAACGGGCTATTCTCGTGTGACCGATATCAACAGAGAAATGGTGGGCACCGCGTGCAAGACGTGTGTTACGAACCCACGGCCTTACCGGCGGTACACAGGATACCAAATCCCCTGAACATTGCCCGTTAAAGTACCTGTAAAAGAGAGAGAGTGAAGCAACATTGCGGCGAAGAGAAAGGGGAGAGAGATTGTCGACTAAAGGAGGAGAGTTAATAAGACGAAATGCCTTGGATTCCACCCTATCTAATAGTTGGACAGAAGAAGAGCCACCCCAGATATGAGAGCAGTACTCGAAGTTAGGACGAATGAATCCCTTATATACTTGGACCAACTGCTCAGGAGTGAAGTAGCTGCGGCATCTGTACAGCATTCCCAACTTTCGGGAGGCAGCTTTAGTTATACTAAGGATGTGTGATTTCCAGGACATATTGGAGGAAATGGTGAGGCCTAACATATTTATTTCAGAATTTGGGGGGAATGATAGCGTCCTGAAATGTAATTGGTGGGAGATCGTCTACTTTACAAAGTGTAATTGGTAAATATTGAGTTTTGTTACTTTTGAACTTAACCAAGTTTGTATCTCCCCATTCAGAGATGCTGCACAGATCCGCGTTGATAAAAGTAATGATATCAGTTCTAGAAACATATCTAGTTTGAGAGTTAGGAGGAAGGGGAAAATGTGAGGAAGAGTGAAGAGTAGAATCATCGGCGTAAGAATGGATAGAATTAGTTGTAGTGTGAAGTAAATCATTGATAAAAAGAAGAAAGAGAGTTGGTGAAAGAACAGAACCCTGTGGGACGCCACTATTGGTAGAGAAAGAGCGAGACTGCCATGGATCGATTCTCAAGGAAGCTAGAGATGAGAGAACAAAGTGGGGGAGAGAAACCAAAAGAGGGAAGTTTAGATAGCAAAGACTTGTGCCATACCCTGTCAAATGCTTTGGAGATGTCGAGAGCCACGACAAAAGTTTCCCCATAATCCCTAAGAGAGGATGACCAAAGATGGGTGCAATAGGAGAGCAGATCACCAGTAGATCTTGCCTGGCGAAAGCCATACTGGTGATCCGACAAAAGAGAAAGGCGTTCAAGGTGACGGAGAAAATGGGAGTTCAAGATAGTTTCGAAAATCTTAGAGAGGGATGAAGTTAGGGCAATGGGGTGATAGTTAGAGGGATTAGAATGGTCACCCTTCTTCGGGATGGGCTGAACCAAGGCATGCTTCCAAGAAGAAGGAAAAGTTTTCGTTTTGAGGCAAAGGCGAAAGAGGCGAGCAAGCACAGGGGCCAGGGCTTCAGCACACTCCCTCAGAACACGAGGGGGTATTCCGCCCGGTCCATGCGCCTTACTCACATCCAACCTGGATAACACACCGGCAACCCTGCGAGTGGAGATTATAGGAAAGTGCATAGGTTCAGTAGGAGGTGCAGGGGTAGGAGGGGTAGAGTGGGAATCGTCTAAGTGAATATGACTGTTAGGCTCTATTGTGTGGTCAGCTGACGACCTTTTATTACGCACACACACACACACACACACACACACACACACACACACACACACACTACCACTACTTTAAAAAAATAGCCTCCAGCCTCCCCCAATAGCCACACCTTCGCCACCATTTTATTACCTTAAAATTAAGTATCCCAATACAAAAGTAGCTACCCTACCTGTGTTGAGTTAGTTGAGCCACAGATCTATGCAGCATTCAGTGACTGTTGCCGCATAGTCAATATCTGCGACCTTCATCCTCTCCTTAAAAGTTAACATGTACAGTTACGGACAAAATTCCTTGAACACTTAGCAATATCTGGCATCTATTTCTGAGTTATACATATCTGATTGGTATATACTTATAACACTACTTGTCATCACATATTATACCTAAACCACAAAATGGGATAAAACTCGCCTTAATACGAAGAAAAATCTCAATAAATGCCTTAGAATATTTCACTCCCTTAATATCCTCAGGTACTTACATGCCAGATACTACCAAGTGAATGTATAACTAACAGGTAATACCACAAATGAATGTTTTACTTGATGTATAATAAATGTTGGAAAGAACGCCCTTGTGTTTACCTCCTCACTGAGTACCTGACCAATTAAGAGTTAAAGGTATGATGACAGCCTCTTGAGTACAATGACTTAACCCCTTGAGTACGATGACAGCCCATTGAGTATGATGACTTAACCCCTTAAGTAAGATGAATTAACCTCTGGGTACGATGACTTAACCCCAAGAGTACGATGACAGCCCATTGAGTATGATGACTTAACTTCTGGGTACGATGACTTAACCCCAAGAGTACGATGACAGCCCATTGAGTATGATGCCTTAACCCCTAAAGTAAGATGAATTAACCTCTGGGTACGATGACTTAACCCCAAGAGTACGATGACAGCCCATTGAGTATGATGACCTAACCCCTTAAGCAAGATGAATTAACCCCTTGAGTATGATGACTCCACCATTGTGTAAGATGACTTAACCCCTTGAATATGATGACGTAACCCCTTAAGTACGATGATTTGATCCCTTGAGTACGACGACTTAATCCCTTGAGTACGATGACTTAACACCCTTGAATATGATGACTTAACCACTTAAATACGATGATTTGATCCCTTGAGTACGACGACTTAACCCCTTGAATATGATAACTTAACTACCTTGAGTACGATAACAGCACCTTGAGTATGACAGCAACTACTCGAGTACGATATCTTAAACCATTCAATAATAACTCAATACGGTGATTTGAGTAGGATTGATAATGAACTCAAGGCGGTTAAAACAACTTAAGGAGATGTCACCAAAGACCAAGAAACGATCACTTACACCACCGCCTTGAAATGTGTTCTAAGAATTAACCAAGAGATTGTTTTCTTTAACTGTTCGAGTACTGTGAAAAGTAAATATGTTAAAAATAGAGTACAGAAGGGGAGAGGTAGGGATGGAAAGAGGGAGTGTGGGAAGGGGGAAGGAAAGAGGGAGGGTGGATTGGATGGGGGGGGGTGGAATGGAAAGAGGGAGGGATGGAAGATTGGAAGCAGGGAGGGTTGAGTGGGAGGGAGGAGTAGAAGGAGGGAGTAGGAGGGATGGGGGAAGTGACCCTGAGAGAGGAGGGAGACGTGGAAAAGTGCGTTGAACTAGATCTGAAATGACTGTGTGCAGGAACTTGCTTGACCGCCCAGCTCTCTCTCTCTCTCTCTCTCTCTCTCTCTCTGCTGTATGTATGTGTGTGTGAGAGAGAAAGAGAGAGGACAAAATAGTGAAAAAACAGGGAAACGTTCTTGAGACACAGGGGTTTAAAGAGACCAAGATTAGACAGGGATAGGCAGATAAGACAGGGATAGATAATAGAAGTTTCAGACAGACAGATAGATAAAGAGCGAGAGATAGACAGTAAGACAAAGAGAATCGGAGAGATAATTCACTTAACGAGGAAAAAAAAATATACGCTAACGAAGACCCGGTTTACCATCGTCAGCAGTCACCAGCGGACGACAATAACCACCTACCGAATATCCCGAATCCGTATATGTGTCTTGTGATCGGGAGGAAGGATATGAATCATGACCTCCAAGAACGTCCTATATCAAGTGCAGGTAATAGATAAAAGAGAATGATCAACTATGTAACAGAGAGAACACACAAGATCTCAACCATTGTCAGGAAGCAAAAGGCAGACACGACCTCCAGGTGTTTACGCACGCCATCATGAAAGGTGACCCTCACACAGCTTCCGAAAACCATCAGTGTGGAGGGTGGGAGAGAAGGGTGGGGGGAGAGAGAGAGGGAGGGTGGGGGGAGAGAGAGAAGGCCTTCATGCACGACCGTCTCTCGCTCTTGTCACATTGCCAACTCCCTCGGGACATGATAGCCACCCCCCTTCCTCCCCCCTTTCATTTTCTCCTTCCTCTCTCTCCTCTTTTCCTCCTTCTGTTCCCTCCCTCCTGTTCCCTCCCTCTTTCACCTCCTCATCTTCTCCCCTTCCTCCTCTTTTCTCCCTCCTTTACCTCCTCTTCCTCCCCTCCTCTCCTTTCTCCCCCTCTCCTTCCTCCTCTTCTCCCCTCTCTCTTTCCTCTTCCCTCCCTCCTTCCTCTACCTCTTCCCCCTCTCCTTCCTTCCCCCTCCTCCTCTCCCCCCTCTTCCTCCTACCTCTCCTTCCTCCTTCCCCTCCTTCCTTCCCTCCTTCCTCTTTCTCCTCCCTCCTCACTCTACATCCTCCTCCTCCTCCTTTCTTCACCCAACCCCCATCTCCACCTCTTTCTCCTCTTCCATTCTATTTTTTCTCCTCCCTCTTGCTTCCTTCTCCTCTTCCTCCTCTTCACCCAGCCCATACATCCTTCTTCTCCTCCCCCTTCTCCTCCTCCCACTCTTCCTCCCCCCTCCCCCCTCACCTCCTCCCGTCCTCCACCAATATACCCCAGTTCCTCTAATTTACTGTCCTCATTCTTTTGTTCTCTCCATCGTCGTCTGTCACGCTGGTGTCCCTTGGCTCACCTGTTTCTCGTGTGTTTGTCAGGAGAAGGAGGGGGAGAGAGAGGAGGGTAGGGGAGGGAGGGGTAGGGAGGAGAGAGGAGGAGGAAGAAGGTAGGGAGGAGAGAGGAGAGGGGAAGGGGTAGGGAGGAGAGAGGAGAGGAAGGGGGTAGGGAGGAGAGAGGAGAGGAAGAAGGTAGGGAGAAGAGAGGAGAGGAAGGGGTAGGGAAGGAGAGGAGAGGAAGGGGTAG